ATAAAATACTTCTAACCGTACTTGTAATAAAAGTTAACATAATGGAAGGATCCTCAAATGGACATCTTCACTAAACAACTGTAATGCAGTATCAATACTGTGAGAAATATTATTAGATGAAATAATGCTGTAAAGAATGTTATTAATGCAGTTATAATGATGCAGATTATATGGCAGCAATAAAATAATTTCTGTATCTCCACACTATATTAAATATTCCAAATTGCATATAGCAAACACAGGCAAGAGGTCCAGCTGTGTGACTGAAATGAACCAAGGCAAAGCCCTTATAAGAAATAGTAGCCTAAATGACATCCTCCTGTCAAACGCCACCCTTCAGGACATCCTAACTTCAAGCTTACATGCAATTGAAACTGCTGGGTTATTAAAAAAAAGTCCAGTTGTCATAAAGGGGATAGTCAGCCATAAGACCAGAGTATAAATGTGGTTATTGCTGCTGTAAAGTTGGACATTTTATCATGCGAGTCTATGAGGACTGACGTATTTTTGCAGCGTCAAGTGAACATTCAAGGAACTGTTTTTATTTTTATTCTGCTTCATTCGTTCTTGTACTTACAGTCTTTTAGGCATCTAACACATAAAAGTGGACAGAATCATTTGTTCGTAATGGGTGGCTCCTATAAAGTACAAACATGTCTAATTATGGGTTGTGTATGGATTAATAGGGACAAAAAAGGCTTTTATTTATATAATATTAGTCAAATTCAGTATAAAGTGTTTAACAACTGAAAAGTCTTAATACCACTGTACTGGCCTCTGTACTAGGCATGTTGTATGTGTTATGTTTATCCCACTGTTGTCAACCATAAATGCAAATCAAGACACATGACCTTGTGATAGGACACTTCAAGTGTCCTAAAGTTAAGGAAAAAGCAGATGAGGGAATACATAATTTAATGATATCAAATACTATCATCACTTCTGCAGATGTGCAAACAATATTAACATGCATCGTCATGTCAATCTTGTCAAGTAAAAGACAATTAGTCACAGAAAAAGACCTTTTATGACTTCACAGCAAACAGGAATACATGTAACGGGTTTTATGATGGGTAAAAGTCCAGTGCAGCCATAAACGCAAGCAGATTGACACAGACGAGAGGCAGATCAGTCGGGACTGACGAAGACACAGTCGGACAACGACATGGAGAATATTTATCCACACTTCACTGCGACAACACTCCTCTGCTTCATCCTTCTGATTCCGTTTCAAACATTGGCTCAGACCAGTGAGTATCCATCTCTGTTGTTTCACTTGTTGTTTACCTGACTGTTGATCTCTGTTCCTATAAAAAAATAATGGACTGCGTAACAGTGAGTTCAGTGGTATCTATGGCACGTACAGATGACTTAATTCCTGCCATTTAAGAAATATTGTTAAAAGTGGAAAAAACAAACAAACAACTGGCTGAAACAGCCAGTGTTACGTGAAAAGACCCCAATTAAAAGGTGGAGCTGATGGGTGCAGACACTCACACATCTTTAACGCGTTCATTTTAAATTTATTAACCTTACCTGCACAGCCTTACAGGGTGAAAATACTCACCCTGTATTTTCCTCTTCAAAAGAAAATAAAGCTCTAAATCACATTCAAAAATAAAAGAAATACAAATAACAGTGTTTCAAGCAGTTTTTAAAAGTGTCACATATTTTACCTTAAATGTTGATCCTAAACACGTTCATCTCTGCCAAGGTAAGGGTTCAACGCCAGTACTTAGTTCAGCTTTTGCCAAACAGCTGTGAGAATGGAAAATATAGCAGTCTGTTAGTGGTTACCCTGTTGTATTTCAGCCAATAATTGAACTTGTGTTTCCTCCTGCTTAAATCAATCCAGTGATTTTCATGCACAGAATAATCAGATTATCAAAAACAACAATTATTTAATCTGTACACAGTAATCATGCTTATATGCAAGTCACACCACCCAAATGCTTGAGTTCAATAACCTGCCGCGTAAGGCAGTTTTAGAAGAATGAAGGCGGTCTCGTGTCGTGTTGAACACATTTGCTTTGCCTGGAGGAGCACTGTAGACTCTTTGTAGGCTCCGCTTGTGATTCTTTTTTGTTTTGTTTAATTATTATTAATATTTTATTATTCACATTATTATCAGAGTGGAGTGGACAGCTAGTGAATGCCTGTGAGTTAAGAAACGAGTAAAAGAAATAAAAGGGATAAAAGTCTAGGATGAAGCCAACAGACACGCTGTCACACTGTTTGAAGCATTTTTTATTAAAGTTGTTGGGATTAACAAAAAACATGATTTAAAAAAATATGCAAAAGAATATCACATTTGCAGATGTTCAGTGTATTATTTCACTAATCCTGGTAACTTCTATTAGTCCATGTGTAGTTACAGTTTTTATATTTTAAATTTCTGTTTGTTTTTAATAGATTGTAATCTTTATGTATTGTTTAAACTAACTGGTCTTAGTCAATGTTTTAAACTGTACTAGTTTCCAATTTTGGCAAGTTACTTTATGTTTTCTGGGAATGTGGTGAAGCAGGTTAAGGTAACACCATTCACATTTATGCTGATAATTGTTGTACTACGAAACATAGGCTGAGAATTTATTCAGACTGTTTATTCATTAAGCTTTATTTTTTGTAGCACTTTAATTTCTGCTACTAAAATGATTTTTATCGAAAACTAAATTTACAAAGCAACAAACTGTTGGACTTTATAGCAACAACCAATCATCGCATCACCTATAACTTCACTCTTAAGTAACATGGTGTAAAAACCCACGGCATTCAAATTTACACAACTCAGCAGTCTGCATGATTGCATTTATTTATCAAAATCTAAGCATAGAATTATTTCTAAATCATTTTTAAATCATTAAATAGTCGGTGAAAAATAGAAGCCACCTAAGCCTGTCTTTGAAATATATGCAAAACTGTCAAGTTGCTTACATATTACTTTAGTACTTTCTCTGTATGCATAACAAAAAAACCAAACTGGTAGACATTTATTAACTTGTGTTAATAAGTTACTAATGAGGTGTCCAAATTCATGGGCTGCATCCTCCTAGGGTAGTATTTGTAGGCCGATTAAGTGACAGCAGCGCGACGAAGGCTCAAGGTTCAAGGCCCACTAGAGCCTGCAGCGAACACCTGGCACATCATTTTCAAACCCCCTCTTTCGCTACTCAGGTTAAACATGATATATAAATCACTTATATAACTTAAAAATGTTATGGTTTGGCTTTTTTCAGTGTTTTATTTGTTCTTAAGTAAATCGGTTTGGTTGAGATTACAGCTGAATAAAAGTCAAAGAGAAACCTGACATTATCAAGAATTTACACCAGTGTCCTGTTATATTTTAGATAGCAAGGAACAGATGGCTGAGGTTATTAAAATCCACCGAGACCGCTGGTGATGCAAGTCTGAAGGCTAGACACGTCCCACTTCACAGCCGCTCACTTCTGGCCTACCCGGCCTCCTGAGGACCCGGCCCACGTAGACCGTGAAGGCTGAGTCCTCAGGAGGATACAGCCTATGAATATGGATACCCCTTAAATGTTCATTAATAAATCTCTTAATGGTCTGTCTCTTTAATTAGAACATAACTCTTTTTTTCTTCTCCTCCAAAAGTCTGTTCAACTTCCAGTCGAAGTGTGCAGTTTCCAGAAAACAACATTGAAGGTGACGTTGTTGTGACAATACATGTTGAGGAAAATGTGACCCTTGAATTTAGTCCTCCGCCTGCAAACCCAAACAACCCCTTTTCATTGGAAGGAAACAACCTGACAGCTGCAAAGGTGTTTGACTATGAGGTATTGTAAGTCATGACTAATAATATCAATAAGATTAAAACTCATCTTTGTGTCATTTCTACAGTAAAATCTGTTGAGCATAAAATTTGTTTTGTTTGCAGACTGAAAAAAGTATTCCAGTAAAAATCACATGTACAAAGACATCCACAGGGCTGCAGGTAAAACTGCCTTTAAACACGTTGAACATCTTCAGTTATTTACAGACTCAGACTCTGCATGTATTTAATGGTCATGTGTTATCTAATACACTAATGTCAAATTAATCTGTGTTTCCAGACACCCCTCGACATCATTGTAGTCATTACTAATTTGAATGATAATGAACCCTACTTTGATCAAAATTTGTACGATACTGAAGTCAATGAGGTAAGGCTTGAAATAAGAGAGAAGTTATTTTTCAGCTTTGTAATTGTATTTATTTATTTATTATTTTCGTGTTGTGGTACAAGTAGATAACCCTCACATCATCTGTTTATTTGGTGGTACATTTTCTTTCAAATAGATGGCACCTATAGGGACCACTGTGGGTCAGTACGCCGCCAAAGACTTGGATGAACCGCCCCTCTACTATACACTCAAATCTGAATCTGTAAGACGTTTATCTTTTGTCTCTTCACAGGTGCACCATTTGAAGTCAAAGTCAAATGAGATGGTGGATATTAGTTCCACCATCTTTGACCAGAGTAATGTCAAAGATGTTTAGTGATCTAAACATTTTTATTTCCTTTTTCATATCTGCAGGATTACTTTAGACTGCAGTCACCGACTAGCGCAGTTATTCTTGTTAATGCACATCTTGATTATGATGAAGTCAAAAATGTGCAGCTGGTATTGGAAGTTCTGGTGAGTAGTCAACATTTCTGATTATACACAATAATAGTTTCCTCCTAACTCTGGAGGATACCCACAGTTTCCCTCTTTGGCATTTGGATGTTTCTTCTTCTGACATTTTTTTAGGACACACAAGCGCCAGAAATTTATAGTGCCACCACAACTATTGCAGTCACTATCTTGGATGTGGACAACAGACCGCCATGGTTCCAGCCATGCACCCCACATAACATGGGCGGGAGTGTGATTTGCCAGAGTACCGGCTATACTGGATTTGTTAACCTTAATGAACAGGATGTGAGTTACTCCCATTGTAGTAATTATATGTAGAAATCTGAAACAAAAAAGACTGATAGTAGAGCAAAAGCTCTTGTTTGGATCAAGAAATTTTATTTTTCCTCAAGAGGAGTATTTTATCATTTCAACTTTTAATACTGTTAATGAATGAGAAGGTTTTAAATGCCGTTGGACGACCTGATAAACACTTTGAGGCCATAACTGTGATTTTGCTTTCGCAGCCTGGAGTGTTACCACTGAAACCAGGACCTCTGTACGCCATTGATGGAGACTCTGGAATAAATGAGGAGATAACATATTCATTCCTAAATGGTATATAACTTGAATTATAACAAACAATTGTGGAGTTGTTGGTTATTAGCAGAAAGAAGAAGCCTAGTTTGTCTGTGTTTGCAGGAAATGATGCTGGTCTATTCAAGATCAACTCAAACACGGGGAACATTACCATGCTGAAGCCAGCTGATGTGTTGGGGACGATCACTTTGACAGTGCTGGTAAACACAACATATTCTCTTGCTGTTATCGAATGATGGTGTCATCTGTGCTAAAAACTGTAATCAAACTGGATTTTTAAAAATAGATGTAAGTAAACAGATGTAGGATGTAACCAAAACAGTAAAAAAGAACAAAAACAAAAAAGAAAACCCAACTTAAAGTCTCCCACACAGGCCTATTGTTGATGTTCACAAGATCACTCAGATTCTGGCCAATTCTGTTTTAGATTTAATCAACAGGAGAAAAACTTTTAGTTAGGTTTACTTTATTTACATTTATAACATATTTTCAAAAACAAAGTTACAAATAGTTACTTAATTCCTAGTTCAACATGTATTTAATATATCCATTGATATTGAACTAAAATTAATTTTAGGATAGAATAGAATAGAACAGAATAGAATAGCCCTTTACTGTTATTGTGTATGTGCATTGTTCTTACAGTCTGGTAAATCAGTCACTCCAACATCTGCATTACTTCTAATGCTGCCACATTCTGCTATATGTCCTCCACCTGAGGCCGATTCTCATTCCCAAACTGAAGCGAGAATCGTCTTGCCTACAAAGAGCAGACAGGCAGTCTGTTGGTCCCTAAACATGACATAAAATTGGCAGAAAATCGTATTAAATTAATACATCAATAATTTAAATGTATGAATTTCTTTGTCAGGTTAATCTCAGGGAATTTATTTCAGTATTATACAATCCTGATGTTTTCAGCTGTGTTTTTCTTTCACAGGCCAGTCAGAAGGTGAACACTCATCAGTTTGCCACCACTACCATCACAATCAGTGTCCACGTCGAAAGCTTACATCCCCCAAAATTTCAGAAAGATCAGTATGAAGGAGTCATCTCTTCAGTGGGTGCCATGGCGATAGATCTGACAAACAAGGACACGCCACTGCAGATTATTGCCACAGATGACGATTATACTGCCACAGCGGTAAAATGCAGTTACTCAAACCCTTAAACACCAATGTGACTAGGTGAAACAAGTGTTTCAAGAGGTGAAAGGATGGATGGATGGATGGATGGATGGATGGATGGATGGATGGATGGATGATACCTGCTCATAGGCTGTGTTCCCAAACTTTTTTTCTTCTTCTAGGTTTGACTTATGTTTCTTTATTCCCTGTAGTTTTTTATGGAAATGGAAGTGGGAAATTAGAGCTAACAGTTCTATGTCTCGATGATCCATTTCCTAATGTTTCCTTAGCATCTTTTGTAAATTTCCTGAAATGCCATTTAAATGTAGTTTACAAATGCTTGTATTGATTATTTGTTCAAAAACAAAAGAATGTTCCAGCAAGACTGTTTGACTTTTGTTATGTACAAGTTTGTTAAGTGAAAGCTCATTTTGGTAACAGCTAGCAGTGGTGCATGTCCAGCCATTCTGTCAACTGTTTCCAGACATGATGTAGTTATTTTCACTGATGGAGAAACTTATACATTATTTCATGACATTATGCAGTTTAGTGGCAAACTACTCCATTGTGAGTTTGTTTGATTACTAACAAAGTCTTTTGGGAGTTTTCAATCTACTTCATGCTCAGCACCAACTTCTTTTCCTACATATGTTGAAACAGGGTCTGAATCCCCACATCACTTATTCCATTAAGGGGAGGAGTGAATTCTCCATCATTAACGGCTTCTTATTCATGACTAAGGAACTCCCAGAGGAAACCCTGTCCCTGGAAGTGAGTCTACAAGTCTAATTAAAGTTACAACGACTGATGAAGTGAGCAAGTTTCTTATCAAGCATTTAACTTTGTCTTTGAACTTTCAGGTATTGGCACTAGATTCAACCAATGATGAAACAGCCACAGCTCAGCTGTCAGTGGAGGTGAAATTAGGTAAATGAAACCTTCCACAATATGCTTCTGACTCTACTTGTTCTGTCAATGCAACAAATGGGCTGATACCTCTATAGCACCTTTCTACTCAGTCAAAGCTCAAAGCTCTACCACAAATCCCAGTTGCCCAATCCCACACACATATTTATACAGTACTATCTATTCATATCCACACACACTCCCTCTCCAGAAGATGTACTAGTGTGTCTTGCCTGAGGATACTTCAGCATGTGGACTGGAAGAGTCTGACCTTTCAGTTGGTAAACGAAGTACTCTAACTCCTGAGCAACAGGAGTTTATCCCTCTTTCACTCTATTTCTTGTTCTTTTTTAAGGTTGGTTTTTAAAGAGGGTTTCTTTGTCTTTGTGGGGGGGGGGGTTCCCCACTTTTATTTATTGGATTGATTTCTACTGTACATTGTTGTACCCCTTTAAACTTAAAATGCAAGTTTCTTTTATTTTTGCCCCCTGTCAATCTGATTTTCTCTGTTTGTGACAGTAACTTAAAAACTTTGCCTTAAACATGATTCAAGGTCTTGCAAAAGAAAAATATGATGAAAATTTACTTGCACCCAATCTGAATAACTTATAATACTAATATTTAGAGCATAATCTTGAATGTCCCAGATGAGAGAGGGACAATGTGAAAGAATTGAAAGTGGCCCACACCATGGGCTATGACGCCATGACTGATGCTCAAAGTTGGTTTACAACCAAAGACCGTCCTGGATGAACTTTTGATGGTGTCAGAAGTTTCTACTTGCCCACCAAATAGGAATCTTTCTTGAAATGGCACTGATCTTAACGGCAATTGCACTCGACAAACCAACCCAAATGGAATATATGGAAGTAATATGTGCACAGTAAAATGTTTGGAACTCCAACAAAGAAGAAAGTCTTGTTGATTTGAGGCCACAGAACCTGGCTATATGATGTGTCCTTGAGTTGTCATGGCCAATCCAGCGGAGTGTGGCATTAAGACAGAAAGCAGAAGAATAACAGCTATATCCTGGCCCAGACTGAACAAGGATTAGCTACATGCATCAAGATTCATGTCCATGTGGCTTGCAAAGACCTTTCAAGAACGCTAAATTGGCCGTGTATAGACATCTAAAGCAGAACATGAAGACACAGGTAAAACCACTAAGCTTCAAAGTGTGCTCTCCTCCCAGGTATCACCACCACCAGTTTACCTCAGACTACTACAGACTTTATGACCACAACAACCACAGGTGAATCTACAACCAGCACCAGCGTCTCAACGACCAGCCCCAGTGAGAGCACCACTAACTCAGCAACATCCACTGAAGACAGTTCTTCAGCCATTAATCCCACTTTGACCCCTGAAGAAAGTTTCTCCACTCCCAGCAAGGCACCACCAGGTGCTTACCCATTACTCTTCATCAGATCAAATGTGGTCCTTTGGGGGGAAAACACACACACACACAAACAAGCAGTAAATCTAAGAAGAATCATTGCCAGGCAAACAAAGGATTTACCAACACATATTTTAACACACACATATTTTTGTTTTGTTATTTTTGTTTTTTTTAGAAATGACCTTGGGGAAGGGGTAGTGCATGGAAAATAAATGAAATTCACAGGAAACAAAAAATAATAATTGGATAACCTTTGAGACTAAAATTGGTTTTTAAAAAATCACACACCAAAAGCTAGAATATTCTATTAGATTAAAAAAAATCATAAACTTGTGATGAAAAGTTCCTAAAATAATAATAATTTGTTTTTGTCATCCAGCCTTATTTTAGACAAGAATATACTTCTAACTTCCTATAAAGGCTTTTTTCACATTGTTCCAAAGCTATAAAAATGTCTTAAAAGTCTCATTGTTGGTATTACGCATTGGCCCATATACTTCTCATTCATCACAGCAGTTATTCCTAAATAAATAAATAATAAAGAAAGAAAAAAAAGTGCAGTAAAGACTAGTTCAAATAAATCTTCAATATGTTCTGAAAGCTTAAAATGTGTATATGTCAAGTTCATACTCAGCGTAATAGATGGATGTTGATCTGTCCATGCATTTTGAAACTAGCATTAGCACGTCAGCTACTGCCATGCTGTTTCCCTTTGTTCTTATTTGGTGTTAGAATTTGGATACATGAGAAAGCCATATTATTAGTTATTATTAGTTAGATAATCCATTTAAATTCCTTCAAAAGGCATCAACAGCACAAACACAATGGTGTGGTCTGGTTTACTGACTTACAGTAGACAAGATTACATCTAGGAGAAGCTAGTCTGGTGCAGTGGACACTTATCGAGTGGCCAAGCATCCAGATCCACTATCCAGGTGGATGAGATATTAAAAAAAATCACTTTCTCCTGAGTTGTTATAAAGGAGAAAACTCTGCATTAGGCGTTTTAACAGGAGAGTTCATGAGGTTCGACTAGCAAGTCTCAAGTGGCCACTTGAGGAACTGCAGTTCTTGGCTTTGTCTTGATTTTTGAGCTCGCCACTTGTTCAGTATGGACTTTTAGCATGGCATTTTTAGTAAGTGGCAGATCTATAATCCACATATTGTATCTGTCATTTCATTTTTCTTAAGCTATGTGCAGTCAACCCTTATCAAACCAGTCTTAATCTATCAGTTTTTGTGTTAAAGTTACTTAACCACAGCTTTAGTGTGCTAAACTTCTACGTTTCGCCTAAAATGTCCATTCCAAGTAACAAAGATTAATCTGACATTTACAGTTAGAATTATCACTCCAATAAAAAGCATTTGATGAAAAACACTTCAGTTTACAGAAAGGGTTTAGACTCTTTAATGAGGGTTTTTTATTGTTTCTGCAGTCATCAACCCATCTGGTGAATATGGAACAGTGGAGATGGCAGCACTGGGTGCAACCTTGGGTGCTCTCCTGTTAATTTGTCTGGTGGTCATTGGTATGCTTGCCCATCGCATGCAGAACGGGAAGGCAGACTGGAAGAAGATCTATGAAGCCAACATATTTCGAAGCTCCGTAAGTTTAAGGTTTAGGTGTGGGTGAACTTTCACATTCATCCAGACTCATCCCTTTCCAACACGTTGGTCTTTACTATTCACACATTTTCATTTTTGACCACCTTGGTTTCAGTTAAACAGATTTAAGGACAAGATAAAAGATTCCTTATGAAATATTTTATTTGTACTATTTTCACTTGTTTAATTTTTATACACCTTGTGACCTTTGAGATTCAGGCTAAATTACAGCATAATTTCACACTAGGAACCCTTGTTTTCAAGCACAGTGGTAAGATGTTTCTTGTAGCTGGTCACCAGGTTTGGTCACACCTGTGGAGGGAATATGACCCACTGCTCTTTACAGAAACTCAAAATCCTGTAGGTATCTTGGCTGCTTGGTAACTAGAACACCAAATCCCCACACCGGGTGTGTTTTTTTTCTGGATTTTTGGTTGACATTCTGTCTCCGTTAATGTTAAACTATCATAACAATTAAAGACTGTTCATTTCTTGTAAGTAAACAAACTTTCAAAAACAGCAGAGGATCAATTAATTATTCTATTCTGTATTCAATATTCATCCCACAGAATATCAGTCAACAGCCAGATGAATTAACATAAATATGAAAAATATTTTGAGGTCATTTTAAGCAATGGGAAGACTACGATACACTGGGGAAACAAATATCTAATGGAAGCTACAGGAAGGGCCCAGGTATGCTACATGCAAAGTCAGAGTGTCTGTTTCAGTGGATGAAGGAAACTTCCCATCAGATATGGTGTCAACAATCCTTCTGGGAAATTTTTCTGAAGCTAGTTCAACAATAACCCACAATTTAAAAAAAAAACTTTTGTAAATATGTCCTCCTCCTTCTGATTATTTCTCTTTGCTCACTTCTGTTTTAGCTCATTTTTTCTGCACTCTATAAAGAAGTCCACATTGATTTAGCAGTGTGCAATGTTTTACCTGTAGCTTTTAATAATAATAATAATGGATTGCATTTAAATAGCACTTTTCAAGACACTCAAAGCGCTTTACAATTCCACTATTCATTCACTCTCACATTCACACACTGGTGGAGGCAGCTACTGTTGTAGCCACAGCTGCCCTGGGGCAGACTGACAGAAGCCAGGCTGCCATATTGTGCCATCGGCCCCTCTGGCCAACAGCAGTAGGCAGTAGGGTGAAGTGCCTTGCCCAAGGACACAACAACCAGGCCAGACAAATCTGGGGATCAAACCAGCAACCTTCCGGTTACAAGATGAGCTTCCCAACCCCCTGAATCACGGTGGCCCTTTTGGGTTATTTGCTTTGATTCTGGCTGGTAACTTCCCTTTCCCTTCCCCTTTCTCTTTTACATGAATTCTTGTTGACTGCATAGTTCACAGTAAGATTTAGGGCAAATATTGAATCGGTGTTACAATACAGTCCAACAGCTACAATTGGACTAGAGCATTTATAATATGAATAGACAGGGTTTTGTGTCAGTCAGTCAGTCTCAGTAAGAATAAAATGAAGACTGTTAGCTGAATAAATATATTCCCTGACTAAAGCATTTGAGGTCATTTTTTCTCATCATTAGGGTTTACTTTATGAAACAGCATTAAAGGAGATTCAAAACAGCAAGCTAAGTGTAGAAAATGTCTACTGGAAGTCATAGTAAGGACACAGTTTTACCATTGTGAATCCTTGATTCAAAGACAAGTCTGAAGGGAAGGGTTTCTGATGCTTTTCCACAAAAATATATATTCATTGTATACACTGATGTAGCAGCTTGTTGTGAATAACACTTTCAAGTCCTCTTGTTTATAAATGTTCTCCCTTTTCTGTTGTTCTATCCACAGCTGGGTCAAGGCCCAGGCCAAAAAGAGGGCATCCAGTACACCAATGAAGCCTTTCAGCGTGATGATGATGATGGAGGAAGCGCGGGCTCAAGTGGTCCAGAGACAAAAAGTGAACAGACACCAAAATCAGTATGGGATATCCCAACCAAAGAGGCCATCGAAAGGTCTTCTGCACCACTGCATGACCTTTTGCCTGATGACACCAGTGATGTAGGCTCAGATAAGGCTGACAGCGAGAAGGAAGTAAAACCCATCCTGACAAAGGAGAGGCGGGTGGAGGAGGGGTACAAGTCTGTCTGGTTTAAGGCAGACATTGACCCCAGCGCCAAGGAGGAGGTGGTCATTCTCCCAGACAACAGGGAGGACAGCGAGGAGGAAGATGAGGAACCACCCTCAAGCAGCAAAAAACATGATGGAAAACCACAAAAAAACTCCAAGGTCTTGTTTGCTGATACTGATTTGGACAGTGGCCTAGGCGTGAAAATAGAGGAACCGGGCGACAACTCAGATGGTGACGAAGAACTGGACATTGATCTGTAAGCGTAGCAAAAAGACAAGAACATGGTGGAAAGCACCTATAATAAAATCGAATGATTTTTTTATCAGTCAAGCACATAATATTCAGCCTTATCAGCCTATTACAACGGAGCCATCACACAGAACCAGCACAGCGTACACCTTATGGAAAAAGAAATTTCAAGGATAAATCAAAAGCTAAAAAGTTTGAACCTTTAGATTTTATCAAAATGCAACATATTGTAGCATCTATTCTTAATGTAAATGTGTCATAGTTAATCAACGTGTCATAAATTCATTAAAAACATTACTATATACATTAGTGAGGCATTTGTGACTCATGAAATCAATGTGGTAGAAATTATGGAGTGAAAATCATGGGAGCTCTGGTCGCCCTGCTGTTCGTTTAATTAGATTTTTTGATTCACTATGTGCCTTCATCTTGTGCCCCTGTCAGTTTTATAGCCCCTTTTTTGCAGTAGTGGTGTCAGTGAACAATGAACACTTCTTTAACGGTTAATTATTAACTTGTAATTTAGCCCAGGCTAGCAGAAAAAAATGTTGTCAGAGGGAAACAGGGAAACAGCAAGAGAAAAACACACACATTATCTACTGTTACCGCTAGTGATTAAAAAAAATACTGCCAACTGATACTGGAGACTGTAAAACATTATGACAGACACGAAAGGGACTCTGAACTTCAATTAAATAATTAAACAGATATCAGTAAAATCCATCAGTGGAATATGTTGCTTCAAACCAAACTGGAGACCTTTACCCAGCCTTTACCTAACCTACTTACCTTTACCCAGCTCGTTTTAACTTGCAGGCCACAAAGAGCCTAATTTGATATCAAGGGAGCCAGACAACCAAAAACTATAAGGGCATTTTTTTTAAAACAATGCGTTCGAATAGTTCACCTTTTTTTAATGTAAAGAAGTGCAAGTACATTTTTTTAAACTTGCATTTAGTGAGCTATGTTTTTGCAAGCCAGTGTCTAACAGCATGTCTTTGGAATTTGATATGTTTTTGTTTTCGTATGGACTAAACACTTGTCAAAATATAGAAATACATAAATTTCCTGTGTTAAATGTATGCAGCTCAAGTAAAATTTAAGGAAACGTTAGAGAACTGTTTTCCAGTAAGGGAAGAAAACCCTCTGAGGCAGATTTCTGCATGAAGACAGTACTTACTGTTTAACTTGCCCCTGAAACTTGGCACTTCTTTGCCTTTACACACGCATCAGTGTTATGAATGAATGAACTGTGGAGCTGCCAGAATGTCACTGAGGTGCTTTTGTTTGAGCCTGGAAGGCAGTTTTATGGTTCATTACAGAAAAAAATGTTCACAAAGGTAAGTAGTTCCAAATGCGTCCAAATTTATCCTTCATTTTCTAAATCACATTCACATTGCATGTCCGTTACCTCAAGCTGGATGTCGGTGGGCAGATAAAAGCACTGACTGTGAATAGTGAGAACAGTGAGCGATCCGTCACAGAACTTCTTGTCAAGTTGATCTTGGCAAATGCCTGTTGCGTGTCGGAGTATGCTTTTGGAGCCGATGTTATCTTACTGACAGTAATATGGCCAGCTTTCACAGCTGTATCGCTAATCCTTTTGTTGCTTCCTCAAACCTATCAACAACTCATCTTTTCTGTTCTCGGTTGGCCTTGTAAGTTGTTGTATTTTTCGTGTGATTTGTGTCATAGTGTCACTTGATATTATATTCCTTGAGCTCTGTGAATACAGCAAACATGTAGGCTTTGTGTTTACTTCTGTGAATAAATAGGAACCAATCAATTTTCATGAAAGAATTGACATTCCCTGTCTCCTCTTCTCCTTATTGATAACACATTTTCAAAAGGCTTTCATGAGTTTCTGCCTTCCACATGTTTTTGTAGCATGAATGGGCTTGCATTATTAGAAAAGATTAGGAATAAGATTGTGTTTTATTTTTTTAAAAAGTAATATGGACTATTGTTGATAGCTGGCTTTGCTTAAAGACACAATTTGTATTTATTTTTTAATTGGTCAGATTTTTCCAAAGAAACAACGTCAACATATGTTGTTATTGCCTTCTTCTTTATCCTCATTATTAGTAGCAGTGTGAATGGCAGTTAAATGCCATAGTGAATGGGAATGAAATTCCATGATTTTCTATTTTCTATCTGTCTCTTTTGTCACTGATACCAATGCCCCATGAGTGACACCATATCCTGATCTTAATTTGGACAGTTCCACCTACAGCTGTATTTAGCCAGGTGACCCCTTTCAAAATCATGTGCCAGAGGGGGCGAGTCCCCGCTTCCTCAAGGCCTGTGGCCCCAGCTTTGTGGAGTCTTTCATAAACTGTTCATGTTGAGTCCGAGTCTGCAGAGGGTTGCAGTGCTGTGGAAGACATCATGCCTCGTCCCTGTACCAAAGATGCAGGCCTGTGGCACTGACCTGGATTACAGGCCTGTGGCACTGACCTCCCACATCATGAGACATGACATCATGCAAAGAAATACTGTATTAATTTTGGGCATGTTATTTTTGAGCAGGAACCTCAGAATTGACTCTTGGAGTTTAACAGGTTAACCTCTTGACTTTTTTTTTATCTTTTTGTCAAGTCTGTATTTGCCCACCAGGTATCTCACAGGGATCACTCTGGGACAACTTTCTATGTCCATGACAAAGAGATTTCTTTAACTCTTTGGTGAAATGTGTTATAATTTCCTGTTCTATGTTCTATACAATAAAGTTGAATGAGGGGACTCTTAGTGCTCATCCCAAGCCAGGGTAAAAGAAAAGGGTTGCACCAGCAAGAGGATCTGATGTAAGATGTTGGCCAAATCAAATATAGGGCTCGTAAAGAAGGACGATTTCATGGAATCAGACTGGTGTACCATGTTGTAGATAGGAAGTGAAATGGAGTTGGAGTAATCTTGAATATGAATGTTAATAGTGTTGGGGAAGTTGAAGACAAGGCTACAGAAGATCGACTGGCTTGGCAGAGAGATTGCACTGGAGAGGATGTGCAGCACCCATGATTAAGAATAGAGATGGAAATGAATAAAGTGAAGTACGTGTGTTGAGAAGATGGAAATAGTACTTTCAGGAGCAGATGAATAGAATAAAGAAAACAATGGATAACTGAGAGGAAGTGCAGTGAATCTTTAAGTCAGAAGAGAGAGCAGCTCAGAGGATGAAGAGGAAAAGCGGTTGGTCCATTCACATTCATCCAGGCTATGGATGTATGGACATGTCTGGGGACAGAGAGCAGTGGAAGTTTTCAACAAAATGAAGGTTAGGGAGAGAGTGAGGATGCCTGAGGAATGAAGAAGCGTACTGCTGATTTGCAGAGCTGCACAGAGGGTTCAAGCTGATCAAGCATTCATTACAGCTATGGGAAAGAACTGACAATCTCTGAGCAGGACTATGCCTCCTAGTGAAGAAAGAGCATTGCAAAAGATGAAAGAGAATCCAGTCGGAGTGGAGTGGGTGGAGACAAGTGTCAGGGGTCATAGTATATCTGATGGACAGCTCAGGCTGAGTGATTTGGAGTCAGAGGCAAGACTGAGATGGTTTGGATATGTGCAGAGGTGGGACAATGGATATATTGAACCACAGAGGCGACAGAGAAGATTTCTGGTTGTACTGAAGGAGAACATGCTCAGTGTAACGGAACCACATGCTATAGGATAGTCTAAGGAGCTTGGAAAGAAAAGCATCTGGACTTGTTTAAGTTGCTTGAGCTTCTCATCTGAGAAGCTTCTTCAGTTCTAAGGTAAAATGGTGGAGAGTCCCAGATATAAACCTAGTGGGAGTAACCCCCCACAGAGGGACAAAAGGACCCCCTGATGATCCTCTAATCGCCTGAGCCAAGGTGTGAAACTGGGTGTAAATAATCTAGAGATCTCAGACCTACCATTTATCAGCTCAAACATCCAACGACATGAATGCTTTAAAAGCATCAACATCAGCTCTTCTCTGACAGCATGGTGGGAGTTTCTAAAATTGACGGCGTCTTCATTAATCCCATGCAAACGTACACCTATCTGGAACAACCCTGACATATTACAAAACAATAATATGATAAACTTTTCAGATTGGAGTGGTAAAGGAATCAAATATTTAGAACATATACTAGAAGGAACAGAATTTATTTCATTTGACGGACTAGTTACACAATATGGGATCAACAAGAAAAGATTTTTAGAATATCAACAAATTAAATCCATAGTAAAAAAGAAATTTAAACCGGGTCAAGTTGAACTACAAACACCACCAAGTGTGGTTCAATTTCTTACTCTTAAACCCCCCAAATTACTATCCAAAATATACAGAATGCTTTCTAAAACAGATGAATCAATATCACTTCCTATTGCAAAATGGGAAGCGGATTTATCAGTTAACTTAGACCTAAACTTCTGGTCTCAGATTTGCTTAAAAACCTTTCATCTAATTAGAAATCCCAGTCTTCAATTAATTCAATACAAAATATTACATAGAGTACACTATACAGGTCATCGGATGTTCAAGATGGGCTTTACGTCTACCAACAACTGCTCACACTGCCAAACCAATTCACCGGACAATTATATCCACGCTCTTTGGTTCTGTCCACCAGTTCAGAAGTTTTGGCGCGAGATATGTGAAGACTTATCGAAGTGTCTGAAATGTAACATTCCAACTTCCCCCTTAGTGTGTTTGTTGGGCAGCTTAGATAATGTCACTTCAGAAAAGAATATCGCCCATATGGTTTTCACTGCCCTATGCATAGCCAAGAAAACAGTCCTCATGAACTGGAAAAATAAAAATAATCTTAATTCTAACCAATATAGAAATTATCTATTAGATTACATTAGTCTTGATACAGCCTCTGCCACCACATCAGATCAATTGCTCTGGGCTCCTTTGATCAGCTCCATCACCTAGTGGGGGTGGGGGGTCATAGTTTGGTCCCGCCTTCACTGTTGTGATTGGTGTGGGGGTAGGGACAGGCTTAGGGCGTCGGGGGGTTCCCCGGAGGCATCTTCCTTGGGGGGCTCAACCCGGGGTAGCGGTCATGTCCGGTTAGGGGCTCTGTTGGCTCTCCGGTGACTGTTTCCTCGCGGCTGCGTGCAGCGGGGCTAGGGGAGGGTCTGTGCTGACGGACGTGGGTTACTGACCTGGTAGCCTGGCTGGCCCTGGGTGGGTCCGGGATGGGCGTGAGGTTCTGGGGGCGCTCCGTCTCTGGGCTGGGACCCGGACCGGGCCTCGGGGGCTTGGGTCCTGGTTGGTGTGTTGCCGGGGTTGTGGGCGGGTGGGTGCATGGGGGCCCAGCCCTGGAGCAGGGTGCCGCCGGTGCGTCGAGCCACCTGGGGGGCTCTTCAACTGGTGGGGGAGATTGTCACATCTTGCAGGAGCTTTCCTCTCCCCAGGAGCTCCCTCTGCAGGAGGGGGAGATACAGGAGAGGTGGAGGAAGATCTCAGCCTGGGTGTTTATTGTCTTATGTAGTCTGGAAGATGAGTGGATGGTGGGGTGGGTGCAGTTTTCTCTGTGGTGGGGTTGGGTGGACTGTCCCGGGCTCTGTGGGGCCGGGCGGCGCTGCTGCACTGGGCCCGGTCTGGATGGGCCTGGGCCCCCTTTCCCTGGCGGGTCGCGGAGTATGGGGGTGCCTACTGGGGTCAGCGGGGGAGCTGGCCCCAGGGAGGGGTCACTTGCCCCTCCCTTCCTTCCCTCCCCATCTCCAGCTGCCTCCCTCTTCCCGCTCCACCACAACCACCCACACATGCAGGGCCTTGGAGTAGGGGTATGTCACCAGGGTGCAGAGGAGGCTACCCCCCCCTCTGTCTCCTTCTGGCTGCCTCTGCCTCAATTTTATCCCACAACTTAGACATTCACATTACTCACACTCTCATTACACATACATATAGGATCTTGGGGGGTGGGCACGATACACGGAGTCCAAAGTACCATCAGGGTGTACACCCCACCCCTGGCATCGTTGCCCACCTCTCAATTTTAAATACACGTAGACATTGAGGGCTAGCAGGAGGGACCATGCGCTTACCTGCTGCTCTCTGGCAGGTAGCTCCATGCCCTCCTGGGTTTTAAATGCACCTTAGAACACACATGCATCAACATTACAATGAGCGGGTGGAGGGAGGTTTGGAGTCTTCTCTCACCCCCGTTCTCTGCGACCTGCTGGAGCAGGGGGGCTAGGAGGAGGAGTTGGCCGTCCGACTGCGGTCTGGAGTGTGGAGCCTTCCTGCTGCTGCGGAGTCGGGGCGGTCTGCCTCCCCCCACCGCAGGGAAAAGGGAAACACCACCTGGGTCTGGGTGCAGTTCCCCCCTCCAGGGGCGGGGGCACCTAGACCCGGTTTGTAGAGTACGCTTGGGGAGTGTGATCGTGTGTACAACGTCTCTTTATGTCTGTCTCCACGTTGGTTGAGTGTGGAGTAAGTGCATATGAGAGCATGAAGGTGGGAATGGATGTTTGTATCTGTGTGTGCCTGTATGTCTGTGTCTATATGTCAGGTTGGGTGTCAGGCGCCACCTCTCTGGGGACATCTCAGGCCCTCCAAGGTTTGGAGGCCTATCTCCCCCTACCACCACTTCCCCTGCCAGTGGCGGACCCCCTCAGACATCGGTGCGTTGGTGGTTCTTTGTGTCCGGGGATGGGCGTCCAGGTACACACCGGCTCACTCCTTGGCGGCCGCTTATCGGGGCCTGGAGCCTGGGGCTCGCTCGGGCCACTTCGGAGGTGGGGTGCCCCCGGCCTCTCGGCCTGGGGCTCGGTCACTCAGGCGCAGCTGGCTGCTGGCGGAGCTCACGGGCGCGTCACTGCAACTCCCCCTGGCTTCTGCTCCGCGGCTGCTGAGTGAGCCCTCATCTGGGACTCTC